AACTCATCCACCTTTAGTTGAACTTTGTCTCAGCAAGGCAGTTGCCACACTGTGAGAAAAGAACAGAGCCGTGGTACTGTAGTACCAAGACTCAGTTTATAAGTAAGGGAGGAGTGGAGACACTACAGCAGTGGCAAGGGTTGGAGTATATAGAACACAAGGTATTTGTATCTAGAGTTCCTGTGACTGATCTGGCCAGACTTTAAGGTTTTAACTTAGTTAGGACATTTAGAGCTTTAATATCAGACTACAGTGGTTCTTATTGATAAGTATTTTGTGCATAACTGTAAAGTTTTAAAGACACCTGGGGTTCTTAACAGTGTACTGTCTGTGTAAGACAGGGATATCTGAAACACATCTATCTTTGAATTGTCTCCAGTATAGCTCCAATCTCTCACTGTTCTTAAGGAAAAGTAAGCCAAATAGAATATCTACCCATAGGCAAAAAATAATATATTTTTTGTGTGTAGATTTTCCTGTGGTGGTATAATTTCTTTTACTGAACAGATACGGGAGCTTGATCATAGTGACTTTCTTCGATTCTGGTGATGCAGCCCTGTAGTGGTGATGAAAAGTACAGCTCTTAGCATTATGCTGCTTTATATTTTCCTGCATTGCTGACATAACTTTCAACAGTCATGTGAGATACACTAATTGAGAAGTGAGGTTAGCTCTGGTGTCAGTATCACAACCTGAAGAATAACAGTGGAAATCCATATATCATATGTTTAATTACTTGTTTAAAATATCCTCTTTATATTGCTATGTCTCAGATGCTTTTCTCTGATTTCCTCCTGCCACTGAGTGACATATTGCCCCAGAAAGGTCTCTTGAGCTTGTGTAAACCAAGTCCTTCAATACAGAGTGACAGGAAAGGCATATTGAATCTTCACATGCAAAGAGGAAAACCTAATTAAACCCTAATAAAGTATTCATCACTGACTCCCTGCAGACAGTGCCTGTCTTCTCTGTTCCAGTGGAGCTAAGGTTTGGTAGCTTTAAAGGTCAGAGTATAGTAAGAGCATGGAGATTCAAAATCTTGTGGATCTCTGAAAGATTTACCAAATATTATATATCTTTAGGTAATAAATGTACTCATCTGGCTCAGAAATGGAATGAGTGGAGAAATTTGTCCCTGGCATGTCTGTTTTATGCCCAGATTCAAGATGGGGGTTTTGAAATACTTCTGCTGCATATTCATGCTAAGATCTCACACTTCTACTTTAAGTAATAAATCTATATTTATTAAGAGAAAAAAAACCTCTATATTTTGCCCCAAATCTTACAAAACACTATCCCCAAGCAGTCTAGAATAGCAAAGTCTATCCTTTTGGCATTCCAGAATGATTTTCAACTGGAGGGTAGACTTCAACTCAAGCATGCAAGGTTCAAGCCTCAACATGAGTGTTTTTGTTTGTTGGCCTCAAAAAACAAACACTACTAAAAAAACCCAACAAAAACGGTTCAGGTCACAACCGCTCAGAAGAGACACACAATAAGAGAAACAAGATTGAGAGGAAGGTATTTTTATCAACACATGATCTAGTTCTAAGAGTCATGACAGTCTGCAACATAGAGTTCAGTAGAGAGCCAGTAAAGGAATAAAGGAAATTTAGAGGACAAAGCCAAGAAACAAGTTAAGAGAAAATGAGTGCTGAGAATAGGAAGGGGAAAGAGTTACATTTCAAGGCTGCTTAAACACAAAAAACTCCTTAGGATCTTTAGAAGAGGAAAACACGTTTCTGAATGCTATTTTTCTTTTTCTGCCACAGATAGGGAGGGCTGCAAGTCATGTATGAAATAATCAAGTATATTTCATTTTTAAGGTTCTGCTGCAAAGTTGTTGCTAGAATATTTTATAGCGCTTCCTTTTTTTCTTAGAACACTAGACAGTCCAATTTAGATAATAATAATGTTCCCTTTGAAACTGTAACAATCATATATAACCTGGCCTGAGGTATAGCAGTATTTATGGTTGTTTTGTCTGTTTTTCTCTACAACACAAGTTGTTTTTAAATTCATTTTTATATCATACTAATGAATAAGATTGCAGTGCTTAATAGCAGAGCTGTAAATGTAGCATAATATATAGTGTTATATACGCACTGGATTTTTCTTCAAACTCTTTCTTATTTATTTTATGGAAGAGTTTCCAGGGGGAAAGTTGTACCCAGGACTGTTCTAGCATAATTATCAGTCACTACTTATTCTGCCCACATGGAAATCTTGTACTTTTTAAATGTTCTGTTTCCAGTCACATTGGTTTGGATTAAAAAACAAAGGATATTCTTCTTTCTTTCTTTCTCTAATTTCTCTTAGTTCTCAGCTTTTCTGTTCTCTGACAGCAAAATGATGTTGTTGTTTTGCTCTCAATAACTCTCTATTTATCTCTTTTCTCATTTACACTTAGTATTGTTCAAAGTCTTAGTGCTTTTCTATACTGGCTAAAATGAACTTGAATATACTCTTGTTAAACAATTCACTTTATGGCCTGGAACTTTTTAAATTTCTAAGGAAGAAAAAAGAAGCCCAAGAACTTCACAAGATTTAAGTACCTTCCCAAATCATGATTCACAATGTACTGCTTATTTTTTTTGGCCTTAAAAACAACATGTATTTTTTCATTAATGCCTTTATAAATTGACTTGGAGTGTATATCAGCCTTTAGAATAAGCTATGAAAGATTCACTTGGATTAATTATTTGCTCATCCCATAACGGCTGCAGAAATTTCCTGGATTCTCAGAACCCAGCCATGTTCCACCAACTTCAGGTGATGTATATGATATGCTCATATTCCTCAAATATGAAATCTTGTGAAGACAGCCAGAATTTGTCCCTGTGAAACAGCGTTAAACTTCTCAGAAACATCACTTTCTTTCCAATGCTGGGAAAAAAAACAGTTTAGAAAATTCAGACATTGTAACTCACTCATCACCATAATACCCAACTACATGTTCTGTAATGTAATGTGAAATAATCTGAAGTTATACCACATGATTAGCCTGTTGTAGCAAATGTGGAAAATTTAGAAATTATTTATTCAGGTCTCATATATGTTTTGTTTGAAAGTAAACACCTGACTAGAATCTTCTAGTATGAAAAAGTGGAGAAAGGCCAGAATACAAATGAAAATTGAAGAGCTGACAGGTAACCCTATTTATTAGCATTCCTGCATGATGTTTGGTATTTTGGCATACATCTAGTCCACTAGCAGTCCACTGCTAAAGAGTTTCAACAGCTGTTGAGAGTTAGTTATCCTGACCCCAGTGCTGCTCTTGATCAGCCGTTGGCAGTTTCACTATGTGCAGCTATTTTTGTCCTCCAACCGCAATGATAAACCTGATACTGTTTTCTTCTGGCACAAGCCTTCAATAGCTAATAGAGCTATAGTCTACCAGCATACACAATAACAAGTTACGGCTGATTAAATATGTAAGGAATACAAATCTTTACACAAAACAGCTAGATACCAAAATGAACTTTTGGACACAGGAGGCTTTAACACCTGGCACCACAGGGATAAGCATCTCTGTTACTGCAAACAGTTGTACAGAAAATGTGCAAATCTCAGTCTTAACCGTAGCTGCTGCTGTTTGTGGCACTAATACAGAATCATTTGTCCAGAATTTTAGTGCTGTGTAAAGAGCTGTAAGGCTCAATTTCAGACTCTCATTCCTTGTTTAATCTTCCTGAGATACTACAAGCACACTACATTCCTCACTTTGTATTTTAATCTCCCTACACACACCTAATGATGCCAACAGTGTAGTATGGACATTTAAATTTGGGAGACTGAAATTACTCATGAACAATCCAATTGGTTCATCATCTTTCTATTGCTAGTTTGAGCATTACATGCTAGGTATTAGAAGACTATGGAAAAAAGTGCCAAAATATGTATGGTTTCAACAAAATTGGATGCAGTTAGTAATCAATTTGCCACTAGTATAAAAAAATTCAGGTACAGAAAGAATAAGTCTGATGATAGAGCTTGAGTGGAACAGTTCTGAAAAAAACAGACAAGGAAATGGGAAAAGAAACCAAAGCATGAGTGTATACTGAAGTGTGAGGAGAAACACTTAGAACTGGGAAAAAGTAAACCACTCAAGAAAAAGTTTGGTTAGATTGGTAAGTAAGGAATAAGAGTACAACAAGAAAATACTGGATTGAAATAGGTAACACCAACAGTAAGGCAATTCTAAATAAAATAATTTTTACAATGGAAATGAAAAGATATTGGCAAATATTAAATAAATCAGGTGAGACAATCTACAGATTACAGTGCTCTGATTTTTCAGACAGTTTGAGATCCTCTCCAGTATACCAATTTTCAGAATAGAGGGTGTCGTGGTTTCAGCCCAGCCAGTAACAAAACACCATGTAGCCGCTCGCTCACTCCCCCCCGTCCCTGACCATGGTGGGATGAAGAGAAAATATAAAGGCAGGCTCGTGGGTCAAGATGAGGACTGGGAGGCATCACTCAGCACTTATGGTCATGGGCAAAAGACAGGCTCAACTTGGGGAAGAAACAAAATCAATTTAATTTACTACAAGTCAAATCAAAACAAGGATATTAGGAAGTAAACCCCAACCTTAAAACACCTTACCCCCACCTCTCCCTCCTTCGCGGTTCAACTCCACTCCTGGTTCTCTCTACCTCCTCCCCACTGGTAATGCAGGGGAACACGGGATGGGGGTTGGGGTCAGCTCACCACACCTTGTCACTGCTGCTCCTTCCTCCTCTGGGGGAGGACTCCTCACTCGTCCCCTGCTCCACCACGGGGTCTTCCCACGGGAGACAGTCTCTCACGAACTTCTCCAACATGAGTCCTTTCCGCGGGCTGATGTTCAGTCACACACTGCTCCAGCGCGGGCTTTCCCATGGAGTCACAGCCATCTTTGGGGCTTCCGTTCCCCCGCTCCCCTCCATGGGCTGCAGGGGGACAGCCTGCAGTCTCACCATGGGCTGCAGAGGCATCCCCTCCTCCAGTGCCCCTCCTCCCCTCCTTCTTCACTGACCTCGGTATCTGCAGAGATGTTCCTCTCACATTCCAATCCCACTACTCTCTGCAGGTTCCCCTTCTTAAATCTGTTCTCCCAGAGGTCCTACCACTGTCACTGATTGGGTTGGCCTTGGCCAGAGGCGGGTCTGACTTGGAGCCAGGGGAGTGTTATGGATGCATGCACACTCAAATACAACTGGTGTTAAAAGTCAGATTTATTCTTCAGTAGAATAGTTAGTTAGAACTCCGGTAACAGTAGTGAACTACAGGCTTAATGATGTAAGCGGAATTATTAGTACTACACAGCTGACTTAAGAATCCTTAAGATTCAAAAGTGATGACTCAAAATGCTCATATCACTCACCTAAAAGATGAGGGCTCTCTCCCTTGAGGGGTTACCTTGGGCGGTGCGCAGACCGAGGGGGGAGTCCCTGACTGCAGACCCGCTTCTCTGAGGAGGACTAATTCCAACACGTCCTCTGGCAGGACCCCGTTTATACCCTTGATGAATCTGATCTGTGGTCATTTAATCCCTATTGCTAAGAAGGTCACCTCAGTGTACCTGGCACATCTCAATTGGTCAGTTCAAATTTCAACCTGCAGCCTCCACGTTTTAGGGTTTTTTCCTTTTCTCCCTGCCTGGAGAAGTTTCATTTCTGGTTGGGGAGGGGGCGGGGAGTGTACTGCCACAAGGAGCTGCTAGAAGCTTCTCACAGGAGCCATCGCTGTGGCTGCCTCCCCCGCTACCAAAAAAATCCGAGCCACACAAATCCATAACAGAGAGGTAGCTTTGACAATGCTGGAAAGAAGTTTAAAAAAAAAAAAAAAGGCAAGGAGAGTATATCAGATATCTTAGTGTGTTTTGATTTTATTTATTAAATATCAAAGAAGATGCCTACCAGAAGAGACTTAGTGATTGACCATAGTTGAATATTAACAAGACACCGAGTAGAAATTAACACACAGCATGTCTCTATTATGATCATCTCCCAGACGTATAACTTGATTAACATATATATATATATGACTTAAAATTACCTGAAACTAAGCCCAGTGAAATTTATGTTGTGAGAATCTCAGCAACTTCCTCATTTTATAAAAAAGTTTTAGGGGTCTTATAGTATAATAAGGATTTGCTAGAGATTTTTAAACTACTTCTCCTGTTTTCTTTCTGTCATATTGATGGATTTGGTTTTGATTGACAAAAAAAATGTAGGGTTTTTTTACAGAATTCAGGAAGATATCCTTATTGCATGTCTGCTTGCCTGATAAGAAACATGTGGCTTGTACAAAGGAAAAGAAAATTATGTTAGAGTCTAAAAGGACAAAAGTAACAATAGGTGATTTAGTCTCCTGTCTAGAGTAAAACAAAGTTGCATTCTATCCAAGCAACAATCTAGCTATCAGATAGTGCAGGGTTAAAGTCAGCGGCGAGGCCAGCAGAGGTAAGGGTAAGCGGGCGGCTGAGCGCTAGATGGAGCTGGACCGGGAGGTTCCCGCGGCCCCGGAGCGCCGGGGAGGAGCGGAGGGACGGGCCAGAGCCGGCGGCTCTCGCGAGAGAGGCTGACGCTCCGTGGACGTTGGCAGGGGCAACCGCGGGAGACTTGAACGGCCCTGAGGAGCGCGGGCGACCAGGGCCTGGCGCGGCAGTTCGGGCAGGCAGGGAGTGCAAGTAGGGCGCAGCCCCCCTCTTCCTCTTCCCAGCGGGAGAAGGCTACTCAAGCGGTGGGCGTCGGCCCGGAGGGAGACCCAGGTACGGTCACCGCTCGGGTGAAAACCGCTGTTAGGAAAAACGTGGCGACGCAGACAGAGCTCCTATGTAAACGTGCAGCTGTCCGGGTCTCTGGCTGCAGGGAGCGCTTGCGTCTGTCACCGATGCCGGAGGGCAGCGGGGACACCTCTTGTGTGAGGTGTGACCTGGTGGATGATCCGCTCAGCCGGGTGGCAGAGCTGAAGGAGGCAGTGGAAAGGTTGAGGAGTATCAGGGAGTGTGAGAGGGAGAGAGATTGGTGGGCCCACGCCTACCATCCCTGAGGCAGAGGCAGCAGATGGAGGCTCCGCAAGAGGCGGAGGTTCCCCTGCCCTCCTGCCACCAGGCAGGAGGGGACCTCGGAGATGGAGGGGAATGGATACAGGTCCCTGCTCGGGGAGGCAGGTGAATCCCCTCTCGGCCTCCCTCTCCTTCCCACCAGGCAGGAGGGGACCTCGGAGATGGGGGGGAATGGATACAGGTCCCTGCTCGGGGAGGCAGGTGAATCCCCTCTCGGCCTCCCTCTCCTTCCCACCAGGCAGGAGGGGACGTCAGAGATGGAGGGGAATGGATACAGGTCCCTGCTTGGGGAGGCAGGTAAATCCCCTCCCGGTCTCCCTCACCTTCCTGGTTGCCCCTACACAACAGGTATGGGGCTCTGGGACTTGAGGACCAGGTCAGTGAAGATCAGGCTGTAGATGAAGTCCTATCTAGGGAGGTGCCTAGGCTCAGTTGGGCAGCCCCACACATTCTCACAGCCTCTGGAAAAAGAAAAAGGAGGGTAATTGTCGCAGGCGACTCCCTTCTTAGCGGGACAGAGGGCCCAATATGCAGACCTGACCCATCCCACAGGGAAGTCTGCTGCCTACCTGGGGCCCAGGCAAAAGACATTACCAGAGAACTCCCTGGTCTGGTTCGGACCTCTGATTATTACCCATTGCTGGTTGTGCAGGTTGGCAGTGATGAGATTGCAGAGAGAAATCCAAAGGCAATCAAAAGGGACTTCAGGGCACTGGGACAATTAGTGGAAGGATCGGGAGCACAGGTAGTGTTTTCCTCAATACCTTCAGTGGCAGGGAAATATACTGAAAGGAACAGGAAAACACACCTGGTTAATACGTGGCTCAGAGGCTAGTGTCATGGGTGGAATTTGGGGTTTTTTGATCATGGGGAGGTTTACACAGCACCGGGCTTGCTAGCGACAGATGGCGTCCAGCTATCTCAAAGGGGTAAGAGAATCCTTGCTCATGAGATGGCAGGGCTCATAGAGAGGGCTTTAAACTAGGTTCGAAGGGGGTAAGGGATAAAACTAGGTGCACCAGAGATGAGCCTGGGGGCAGCATGCCGATGTTAGGGGTGGATTCGATAGGCCAGCTCAAATGCATCTATGCCAATGCACACAGCATGGGCAATAAACAGGAGGAGCTGGAAGCCATTGTGCAGCAGGATAGATAGTTGCCATCATGGAAACATGGTGGGATGACTCCCATGACTGGAGTGCTGCAATGGATAGCTATAAGCTCTTCAGAAGGGATAGGCAAGGTAGAAGAGGTGGTGGGGTGGCTATCTATGTTAGGGACTGTGTTGACTGTACAGAGCTACACGATTCTGATGACAAGGTGGAGTGCTTATGGGTAAGGATGAGAAGGAAAGCCAATAAGGCAGTTATTGTGCTGGGAGTCTGTTATAGACCACCCAGCCAGGTTGAAGAGGTAGATGAAACATTCTACAAGCAGCTGGCAGT